TATAATAATATAACACTGGCAGCTAACAGATCAATAGCGACCAATTGGCTCAAACAAGAACTACCTATCCTTATGAAGCCTTGATTGAAGACAACAAAATAATGGATCAGCAAACTGCCATGATTCTGGGTACCATCCCCTCTTTTCATAAAACTTGGTCTATTTGGGATGAATACGTGAACCTGACTTGACCAGATATAAGAGACTAGAGTTAGTCACCGATCTGACCACCATGGCATCAACCTCCCTTCCCCCCTTAATTTCTTTTTGTTCTTTATCATCATACCCATAGGGTATTCTCACTGCGTTTTCCTGTGTGAACGGTTTGCATGGAGAAACTAAAGGCCCAGGATGGAATATTGCAGATTTGGACATTTACTTTAGTCACCATGTTATAGCTCTTCTGTTTCAGGTATTTTGTTAAACATATATGGGAGGGTTTGCTCCTAGGTATGCCTTTACAAGTTGTGGTGCACCTGTCCTTTTTTGAGTCAAGGGTCTAAAAGTGTTATTTATAAGCAAATGTAGTCAAACATAATAAGCCCCTACAGACTTCCTGTATTGGTGGGAGTTTTCCTAGAGTCACAGACTTTCTGTGTTGCAACTGAGGTGTTTGCATAACTTTTAGAATAATGTACCCTATATGGTCCAAACAGTACCATTGCTGCTATACTAATATACTAATGTTGCCACTTCAGATTTTAGGTTTCCAACTACCACATGCACTTGGGTGACTGTAGCGGAATACCTGTATCCCAACTGGATACCTCTGCTAGATTCTCCTCTCAGCTGTAACATGAACACTTCGTGATTAAAACTCCATTCCCTAGATATCTGATGACACATGATGTGGGGAAGAATAACTGGTTATATTGCACACAATGCAGCTTTTTATGTACAGACCCCAGCATGTGGTCTCTATTCATTATACAGCAGAGCCCAACCTGGCATTTATGTGTCTTGGAGATAATTGTGTCAATGCCCGCTAAACTGATTATCTCATGGATACAGAGAGCCAAACACACGAAAAGCCCCAAAACAGAATGATAGCATTCCTGAACCCTGACATGTTAAACATCCCCAGATAGCTCTTGCTGTAGTACCAAATCTGGGCAAAAATCATCGTTATCTGTGGAGTTGTGGGGAAACGCCACCCAGTTAAAATTTGGTCCAGCTGCTAGAACAGTCCTGGGCTGAATCCAGTTCTAGGCATTTACAGTCAAATGCTGGTGTTTTAACTGGGTCTCTTGTGCCAAGAAAAGGGCTCATAGGTAGCGATTGTTCCCCTTGATGAACTATAGCTCCCCTCCAAATACTCTTCCTTGGACCTTGGGAAAGTGAAAACCATAAGGGAAAGTAACCAGATCGGAAGGATGTTCCCATCTAGGCCAGAGTTCCATGAGGTCAATGGGTACATTGCATTGACAAGGCTGTGATACTCCGGCTCAGTGTATAAGCTGTAGACAGGGCGATAAGAGGCGCTTGCTGTGAAACATGTAGGAGAGGGGAACCAAGGAACCCAGGAACCCAGGAGAGTGTTATAGTCTTTATTGAGTCTTGTACAGTAAGATTGGTGGCATCCGCCATAGTGACTTTGACATGTATCTAGATGTTTTGGTATATTTTTTTAGGTGATCTCTGGCTCTGATCCCAGTTAACCCCTGCAACGCAGTATTTTCACAGTTAGTCATCATGCACCCATGTCCCATTTGGGACGTTTTTAAAGCCGGACAATATAATTTACCCCATCAAACCATATATTCTTGAAAAGTAGACACACTTTAGGCATGGATTATCAACTCCTATTAGGTATTACTGCCAAAGAACACCCCAATATGTGTTCAGCAACATCTCCTGAGTACAGCGATACCACCCATGTATAGGTGTGTTGGGTTCTCTGGGGGTTAAAAGACCTTATTTGGAGGGTGCGCATGCCAGTTTTCCAACTTGGAATTTTCACAGTTGGTCATCATGCACCCATGTCCCATTTGGGACATTTTTGAAGCTGGACAATATAATTTACCCCCATCAAACCATATATTTTTGAAAAGTAGACACCCTAGGGCAGGAGTAGGCAACCTTTTAGCAGCACTGTGCCGATATAGGATTATGATGTCCCGTAGCGTGCTGGTCCTATTTCTTTTTTTTTTAAATGGAGGTGTGAATGCTGCCATATTCCGCTTGTGTTATTTTTACTGTAATTGCTTTGTATCGTTGTATTTGTGCGTATATGCAGGTCTGTCTTTAATAGTGACTGGACCCTGGGCAAAGCATTTGCTTGGGGCCCCCTGGACCGTGTCCCCCCTCCCCAGGCATACAATCACGTCCTCCACCTCAACGCAGTGGCAGACCTAAAGTTGAGAGGTGCAAGAATTTTTGGGGGTCTCCCTGTTGCACAGGTGATTAAAAAGGTAGATCCCCATCTGTCGTGCAACTCCAGAAATGCATTGACAGCTGGGGCTCTACCATTTATCCATGTTTGCAGGTCTGTATTTAGCAC